AAAAGTACCATGACGTCGTGCCAGAAGCTGCTATGATAAAACCGTCCTCCGAACTGTAAGTTTACAGAAATTAAAACGATCAAGGAATATATTACAATTCTATTAATAAATATGGCTGTGTGTATGTCAGTGTGTTTGTGAAAATATATTATAGAGATATGTATATGTGCAAAATATATACACATAAAAACGACGTATTTGTGCAAACATCGAAACGGAGAAATAAATCTCTCGTTTGATGCATGCTACTGGAAGAAACAAAGCATAGATTCGACGATTAGAAATTTTATCAGAAGCGGTCCGACTTGTATAAGACAAAACGTATGGACCAAAACCGTTATCCGAGATATTAAACTTGAATAAAATTAATTTATTTAGGCCGAGAAATATTATATTAAATTTAAGCTTTAATTACTGTTTGTACAATCAGCCCCAAAAATCAGATTTACTTATAATTAGATTAGGTATCATAACCAATTTGGTCTGCTAGTCTCTGAAACAGAAATCAGAAACAGAAAACAGAAGTCGGTTTGACTTTTTAAAGTGAATTAAAGGATTCCTAAAGTTTTGTTTCGATTTACAGCTAACCGTGTTCTGGGCTGAGCAATGACGGTTGTGCGCAAATTATCCGAGATTGAGGCGACGCACAAATCTGTAAGCACAAAGCAAAGGAGAATACTCTCAGTGCATTTTCTGCGCCATATTCTTAGTCTTTGCCTTCTCCAACCTAGCATTTCTCAACCTAACACGCCTTTTCATGTAGCAATGGCGAGATCATAATCAAAATACGCGTAAAATTTTTTTCACGACTAATATTCAGGATATGACCAGAAAAATTTCCGATAACGTTGAAGAAAATTATATCGCTTAATTCCAGGTCGTGTTCGCGATCATCATCTACGTGTCATCATTCGGACATCGTTATAATATGCCTCGACATAGCGCGTGTTTCGTTTAATGACGGCAGAATAAAATGCGAAGACGAAGATGCGTGAAATCAACGAGCGTGGATGTAACATATTTGTCTGATCACAATGAGAAAAATTCAATAGATGTATTTTTAAGTGATATCCATGGCTATATCGACGTCCAATTGCTAAAACTTATCGCGATTTCGTTATCATCTAATGTAAATGCAAATATGTGATATATGGCAAATAAACACCCTTCGCCATTGCCACTCCCGATTACGAGTCTCTAGATATTTGGAATTTTGCGGATAGAGAGATATTACTGTTTTGATAATAATAATTTTATATAATAAATATATATATATCACAACATAATATCTCTCAATTGATATAAATTTTACTGAATTGTATTAATAACGAGATTATACATCGTTATTCATTCACAAGATGAAATTAAAGTGATACCTATTTGTGGAAGAGACTCATTATCAGGACCAGAGAAACTCTAAACCCTAAAATGCTGACCTATCTAAAGTATGCATCATATTTGGTGCTCGGCAATAGATGCAGTATCAGTGGGAGTTTGTTAAACTCTGATTTGTTCTGTTCAACGAATGTAGCGTTCTCTTTCTTTGTTTGGCGCACGCTCATGATCACAGCTCAGTCGTAGGCCACGGATTCTGTACTGTCTCTCCGCTGTAACATCTCAGAACAGAAGGACAACCATAGATTAGTGTGATTTAAGCGCCATACAGTCATCATCTATTACCCTAGCCTACCAAAATTTATGTTCAAACTGCTTCTCAATAGACGCATTCTGCAGTTTTACAGAGTCTGGCAGCATTTTAAGAGAAAACTAGCACCCGAGTGTCCTAAGTAAAGTAACTATATATTGTATTACATTTCCATATCATGTTCTCGTTCTTAATATACACACGTTACATTCGCTGTTGTTGCTGTATTCATTGTGGTTCCCACTTAGCACAGAATTGTGTATAATATTTTAGTTATTACAGGCATAATGGCTATGTGGCTGCGTTAGCAATTTACCTTCTACTTTGCTCTTCTTCGCCGGTGGCTCCATACTGTTTTGCGACGTTGGTGCCTACAGAAAAAAAAGAAAAACGAGTCCAATAGCAAGTAAATAATACGTTACGTAATAGTAGAAAGTATACAAATGTGAATAGAAACGTTATCCAGAAATTGCTAAAGATATTGCTATTATTGATCATGCAACATAAATAAAATAAAAAAATAAAAAAAAAAATAAAAAAAAAAAAAATAGAAAAAACAGAAACACTTCCAATTAAGTAATTAACATTAAAACTGTTGTATATTATTATATATTAGAATCGCTCGCGTATATCATTCGTATATCTAACGCATACGAAAAATAGCAAGAGATCAATAGCACATCGATTGATTTGCCAATTTCGTAAATTCCGCAAAACAGACGTCCCTCAAACGTTTCATTTTTTCACGACAGATAGTATATTTATTCCGTGCAACGCGCGCGCGATTGCCCTTTCAATGGCGGCTACGTAATAGATTAATACGGATGCGCACAGTGATTACGACTGCTTGGAACTGCACGTTGGAAAATGTAGTTCTACGACCGCCATTAAATACGCTGCCAAGGGTTAACCGCGATCGCGAGGATGAAGAGAGTCGATATTTATCGTGACTCGACGCGAGAGATTCCACTTACCATGGCCATCGTTCCGTTCATCGTTCTTCGTGAACCGACGAAGCGGATGAGGTATTCTGGAATTTTGCAGAAATTCTCGACGATTCGCGAGACACAAACACACGACACACAAATCACTCACAGCCGATACGCTTCTTTGCGGAAGCCGCGCTACCGGAACAGCGCCGCTTCCTCATTGAGAGTCTAAAGAGGATTGTGATATTTATCGATTATCAACGTAATTATATACTGCGATGATATATTAAAAAAAAAAATTTATTTATACATGTGAGAAAAATATATATGCAAACATATGAGAGAAATTGTGAGAAATTTTATTCGTTTTCTCTCTCGATTAGAAAGTCGATTTGACTCCGGTGGTACATTCGTGACAGCCTTCACAGGGGCGATCATTGACATGTGTGTTCATGCGGGTTAGGTTTTAAACGAATTTCGGTGATTTTTCTTTATTAAAGTTTTCTCGCTCGCCGATGTGTAATTGACAACAATTATGGAGAATAACGAGTTTTTTATCAAAATTGTAAATAACGAGAAGGTAAATCGTGTCTTAAATTATTTACCGCGCGTATTATCCCTATGATTAACTATGAAGTTTTTTTTTATAGTCTCTAATCAAAGAAATTTTTCTCTCACTTCGCCATTTATTAATTATAATTGATATATATTTGTACATTTAATATAATTAATGTAATATAATTTAATATAATTAACTATAATATGGGATATTAATTTCTATACTTTTGTATTACAGGGTAAAGGACTGTTCTCCAATCGTGCATTCAAGGAGGGGGACATTATACTTACAGAGAAACCAATAGTCTGTTGTCAATTTTCATGGAACTCCGACTATGGATATTTAGCATGTGATCATTGTCTGAGACCTTTAGAAACTGCTCAGGAAAATGCTCAGAGATTAACGGGAAATCCAAACTTATTTCTACCGTATAGCGAATGTTGCGAGACAAACAAAAACTTAATGACCGAATGTCCTGCTTGTGGAGTAAAGTATTGTAGTATGGAATGTCAGGCTGAAGCGTTTCAAAGGTGATCATATTAGATTATAAATTATAAATTCATTAAATTATGAATTTATATTAGATTACATTAGATTATAATTATTATTATAGCTCTCATTATGCATATATTGTGTTGTATTTATATTTCAGATATCACAGCATATTATGCTTGCAATCAAGAATGAAGGATGAGAGCCATTCTCTTACACAATTGAATGAAACATGGAAACAAATGCATTATCCACCAGAAACTGCAACAATCATGTTACTAGCTAGAATGGTTGCTCTAGTTAATCAAGCAAACAACAAGCAGGAAGTTTTATCAATCTTTTCACAGTTTTGTCATCGTACTACGAACGACACGCACGAAATTGCACACAATCTGTTAGGAGAGAAATTTGTAGGTCAGATTGATGTCTTGCGGCAAATGATGCAGACAACCCTTAATACCGAATACACTGCACATGTATGTAAAAAAAATATATATTATTTTTACATGTACATTAATATTAATTAACACTGTGTGGTTTTCAGTGGTTTACCCCAGATGGTTTTAGAAGTTTATTAGCTTTAGTAGGAACAAATGGTCAAGGTATTGGTACCAGTGCGTTCAGCCGCTGGGTGAAGAATGTTTCTGCATTAGACTTGCCTAAGGATCAAAGAATTTACATTGACAAACTGATAGATAGAATCTATGATGACATGGAGGAAGGTAAGTTGCAATATTTTATTCAAAATGTCCTATATTCTGATAGGTACTTATAAAACTTGATTTCTTTTTGCAGTGGTAGGTTCGTTTTTAAATAATGAAGGATCTGGTCTTTATATTTTACAATCATCAGTGAATCATAGCTGTACGCCAAATGCAATTGCTGAGTTTCCTCATTCGAATAGCACTTTGGTATTAAAAGCAACACGCGATATACAAGTCGGTGAGGAAATCTGTACAAGTTATCTTGATGAGTGTGAACTCGAAAGAAGTAGATATTCCAGACAGAAGGCATTAAGTTCCTTATATTTGTTCGTTTGTCACTGCGATAAATGCCAAGCGCAAATTAATGATCCTAATGTAACATCTGATGAAGAAGTGGACGATGATGCATCTAGTTGAACAGATGCAGAAAGAGGGAATAATGATATAATTATATTAATAATACACAATGTTAGATATATATTGAATATATCTAATATATCTAACCTACTGTAAGAGAAAAACAATATCCACATAATTATATAACAATAATATATTGTTAAGATTACTTGGATGACATATGTCTAATGCACCAAATGAGCATTATTAAATCAATAAAATAGCATATATAAGATAAACATGCTACTCAATAAACTTGAATAAAGTTTAAAAAATGTACTTTATTAATGTAACAGAGACTTCAATGGTATTTCTATATTAACAATGTTATATATAACGAAAGATTTAATAGCATTTTTTATTCTTTTTCCTTTACCTACTTAAATTCGAAGAGTTAATTTTAATCATTCAATTTCCTTTTACAATTACATTATTACAACAAATTATTCTGCTCAAATTTATATACTGCATATATGTTAAAAAATGTAATTTATGTACAAGTATATAATTGTTTTACACACAATTTTACACAATTATATTAAATTTAATGTATACAGCAATTTCAGAAATTGTTAGAAAATTAATATCTTTTTATAGTGATATGTTCAAGCACTGCATACAGACACACAACATTAAAATACTTATTTGTCTCATTATAAGAATTTGTTTATCTACAATTATGTTCAGCCAGGCTGAAGTGTTAATTCGTTTTTTCCAAATGTCATGAGATTGGACACATACTCAGGTAATGGTAATCGAACTGCACGTTTTTCTATTAAACTAGTCAAGAATCTAGCTATATTGTGACTACGAAACTCCCAGCTAAAAAAGAGAAAAAGTTATAGAGTTAACTCTACAAATTTTAATTTTAAATGTATATAGAAAAATATTCTTACTTTATCTGTATATTATCATTAGGTAATATTGAAGCTACAGCTTCGTGTTTTATAGATTCCTCTGGTCCGTTTACAACGAGTAATTCCAAAGTCGGAGGATCCTTGGAAAAACACTTTTCTGCATAACTTTTCCGTTGTTTATTCTGTGTATAATCTATACCATCATTACTGCAATAAAATGTACATGTTATTTAGAAAGCACAGTAGTGTGCTGAAATACAAAATATTTTATGTGTTTATATACACTATATATAAAATATATATACAATATTATAATATATATGATATCGCATAAAAGTATAATTATAAAAACAAAAAATAAAAAATGTATTTTTGATAATTACTTGATAATAGGATCAGATGGTTCATAAACTGACGGTTGATGAATGTCTTCAGCATGTAAAGTGCCTTGTTGCTTGTTCCATAATAATCTTATTAACGATCTAAGATCTTTACCCATGAGCTTAATTCTTTTGCTTTTGTTATAACCCAGAGCAGTAGCCATCAAATTTATAAAACCATGTGAAATATTCTTTTTTGAACAGAAAAAATATTTGTGTCCCATAAACAAAGCGAAAAAGATAGGCATGGTACGTTGTACTCGTCTTCTTTTACTCTTTTCCTTAATATTTATAAATGTGATATTGTCATATATTGCAGCTTTTACATCTATATTTAAACCATTTGATTCAAATGCTTCTTTTATGCTTTCTTGAATCTGCCGTCTTTCAAGATAATTTAATGCTCCGCCTACACCCTTTAACTCGTAACCATACCATATCTTCCTCTTGTCATGTCTACTTATATCTAAAAAATTACATTATTTCACACATGTCATAATAATATATCATGAATCAATTAACATTTAATACAAATTAATTTATCAGGTTTACAAAAAACAATTTAATAAACAATTTAATATTCAAAATTAAATGTTATTTTACCTGTTACTTCTAGTGTTATTAGTCTATCATGCAAGATTCTCTCTCCTAAATCTGCATTCTACAAATAAGCCACATTTAAGAATAATATTACATGTAAATTTTATATAAAAATTATACATCAAAGTAATGCTTACGTTAAGAATTTCTTCGATAACGCATACGGCATTTTTAACAGTAAATCTTTTGTGATTCTTAATTAATTTAGACTTGACATGACTCCAAGATATCTCCGGAAAAATGGGTATCACGCTGCTTTCTAATTCTTCAAATTTGAATCTTTTTATCACGTTAATTAGCTGATGTTTAATCAATCTTGATGCTGCCATATTCAAATAAAACTGTTATTAACTCCGATACCAGAAATCATAACCTTCAAAATGTTTTTCAATCTTTAATTGCTCGTTTTATGATGTACACTAACCCATAGTCACTGTTATAAATAATATCCATACAAAATTTATGTCAATACTACAAAATTAGATGAGAAGTCTAAGCATTTCTTAAGTCAACAAATTGAAGATTTTTGATTTAAAATAAACGTCATATTCGTTACAAATTGTACCCGCCAAATGTGACTCGAAATATATAGATAGGTAACTAAAGGTGTCCATGTTTGACATTCCGAAATGTTTGTCCGGCCAATCAGAGCAGAGAAGTCTCTGCCCTTTTCTTTTTAATTGGTCAATAGAACGATCTTTTTGCAGCGTTAAGGTACAATTTCATGTGCTGCAACTCGTGCAGCAGGGAGATCACGTGATCGAAATGGACGAATGAATGACGACGATGTGGCCGCTGATTCGTCCATTTCGATCACGTGACCTCCTTGCTGCACGAGGTTGCAGCACATGAAATTGTACCTTCAAACGTAACTATTAATGCGCAAATATCTAGACACAAATATGCTCAAAAGAAAAAGAGCTAAAATTTCTTTGTCCTGATTGGTCAAATTACGCCTTCCAAGTGATGAATCGGAATCAATCGGGAACGCTCGATAAGATTTCGAAACGGCCGTTGAGTACAATTTTTCTCGAAGAGAACCTTTCAGAACGTAACCTAAAAGTGTAAGAAAATGCAGAATATGTGAAAATCGAGAATGTCTCGCGCGCGCGAGTGATTCTACGATCTTAAAGACCTTCAAGGGTCTCTACACTATTTTAAAAAGTCTCGTCTAGCCTTATATCGCGCGCCTTACATCTCTTTTTACGTCTGTACATACAGGTGTACGTGTTGAGGAAACATAACGTGAGAGATGCATATTACGATCGACGATGAGGAAATCATGCTGCTGCATTTCGTCGTGTGTGAATTTTACGGCGAGGAGACGTGCTTCTGTTGGAACGAGAATAAGCTCGTCGTCTTTCCGTACACAAGGGGCAATTCGGTGGCACGGGATGTGCGAGTTCTGTCGATGCCAAATCCCCTCAGGAAGATCCAGATCTTCGACGGTAGAGCCTTCTTCATATGCGCGCCGCAGGGGGCTTACAAATTGTCGCGTGCCGGCGAGCTCGTCCTCCTGAGTAAAAACGCCCTGGACATGGGCAGCGAGTTCTATCAGGTGCTGACTGCCACGAGCAACGGTGTGTATCTCGACGACAAGCAGGTTACATCGTCCACATTGCTGTTTTCTGTTACGTCGAATGCCGGAAAGGAGATACGCGCCTTTTCTCTAATCTTGGAGGATACCGAGACACGGTTTGTAAACTGTTTCACTGCCGGTTCGAAAAGGAAAGGGAACTTATGCGTAATCGCATATGACAGAAAGTTGTTTGTGTTAAAGGGAGACAATACCGTGCAATTAATTTATACCAGCGATCGTGCCATCGTGGATATCGTGCCTGTAAAGAGACAAGACAAGGTAGCAGGTCTCCTGCTTCTCATAGATATGGACATGGTAATCTTGGTACATAGTAGAGATTATGATCTAGTCTTTGAGAAGATACATTTGGGAAAGAAAATGAGAAATATTTCTGCGTTCTGTGCCTACTTCAGTATGGAAATGGAAAATGTTTTGTGGATAATGTATTGTGATCAATCCAAGATGTATTATATGAGAAAGGAACTCTTTGCTGACACAATTCAAGAGAAAAGAGTGGAGGAGAGGACGTTTAGGTGTATACAGTATTACAAATCAAATATAATTTTAGGTTTGTCACAAGAACAGGAATTAATCGAGTTTTCTCTTGAAGAAGTGGAGAATTCTTTATCGCTCAATAATGATGTCAATCTTCATATCGATATGTTTCAGAGAACAGATCTTATTATGGAGAAAATTTATGCGAAAGTAAAGGAACTGAATATTCTCTACGAGAGCATGATGGATGAACGAGACAACTTGAGAAGAATAAATCTATATGTTTCCAAACAGAAACTTAAAGTAACTCCTCACATTGAAGTATCCAGACTGTGCAATTATAATTACCTTGAATTAAATATCCCAAGCAAACTGCCTAGAAACAGTCATATGATATTTGCTATTAATTCTAAAAACCAAAGCATATTTTGCATGAAGAAAATTACAGAAACTGCATTGATTTTAAAAATGCCTATTAATGAAAATAGAATACTATGTTCTTCAAATATTAACATGGATTTGATTACATGGATGAATAAACAACAACCGTGGTGTCTTATACAAAATTTTATATATTCTCCGCTACAAGATCTCAAGAGGAAAAGAGGAGCAAAGAAAGATAAAACAGCCTTCATAGATGCAAAAATTGCATCATTGCAAAAATTAATAGCGGAAAAAGATTTGAGCATGACAAAATTAAGCGAAATAAAAAGAATTATACGAGCAGAATTATAATTTTGCTTTTTAATTAGAAAAGATATAAAAGATTTTATGATATATGATATATATTTGTTTATATACGTTTTTGTTATATGAGATTTAAGAGATGTCTGTTTTACTTAATTTTTGTTATTGTATATCAGAAAGTAGACTTTAATTATTTATGTTTCTAAACTAAAGTTTCACATTAGTGATATTTTATTACTTTAGGGATTCAATAAATAACACTATTGGTCTTTATCCGACAATTTTTTTTTTTTTTTCCTCCCTATATCTGTCTCTTTTATGTATAGATATATATATATTGTATGTGCCTTTATATATATAGATATATATCTTTGAATAAATCTCTTTTATCTATCTCAGAGAAACGATTGTATACATAGACATACATACATATGAAATATTAAAAATTTTATATATTGTAATTCTTATAATAATATAAAAATGTTTGAAAGACTGCATAAAGAAAACCAAATATTTTTTTATGATAAATGTAAGATTTAATTTACATTTTATAAAGATAATATAATCAAAGAGCATATTTATGATAAAAGTTCTCTCATCTGTCACACATTAGATTGACACTCTTTGTTATTCAAGTCGCGTTTATGTAAATATAATTAATATTCTACCAATTGTGGCTACAATAATTTTTTGTTTTATTTGTGAAGACAAATATAGGAATCTAATAAACAATCGTCATGTTCCAAATATATGGCACAATAAATTTGAAATCATTTAAAAATGATAGACATGACAAATCTCAATAAATACGATGGGAAAATGAAGAACATACATGTTAACATGACTTTACATTCACTATATTATGTACACTATGTAAATCATCTCCATAAAAAATGTCATGTTTATATTCATCCTTCACGCAGTAACTTTGTTTAACAGTTTATTGTAATGTACTTAAATCTATCATTCTACAATAGAATGCTTTGCGTATTGTGGGAGAGGGGAAGGGGATTGCAATATATTTCTTCCCCACATATAATATTTCTAGATAGTTTTTTACACAGTACAAAAAAATATATATATATATATATTATATATAATATTCATCGCAATTCTCTTATTGATTTTTTTTTATAAGTACTTTGATCAATAATCTACAAGAACAATGTCAGGTAACCATTTTCTAATTTGATATATTCTACAGAATCCAAGCCAAATGTTAAATTTGATTCACATTATACAATGGTGCAAAATATTCTTTTTTAAATATAAATTGTCTCTTACACATTCCATGTGTAAATTGTATATGTAAGTACATTTATTTATTATAGAAATTATTTGTCGTGCCATGTCATATAATGCGAAAATAAAACTTTATTCTTTGTTAAGTATTTTATATAGAAATTATTCATAATTAGCAAACACACAGACTACACAGAGAGATACTTCAAGCTGTTTTCCGCTCCTTATATTTTAATTACTTCCTCTATATACCAGGTCCAATAGAATTTAGAATTCTTTCATATGCACATAGAAAAACTTGCTCTTCAAAAAACGCTTTATGCTGAATAATTACAATATTATTACATATTAATCTCGATGTATCTATAATGTATATCATAAGTACTCAATTAACAACAATATAATATTAGTGTTGTACATTTACATCACTGAAATAATTTATAAAACATAATAACAATTTAAGGAAATTAGACTCCTGAAAAAATATTAACAATATTACAGAATGACAAGACTATAACATGAGTCTTCATACCTAAAATTATGACAAAGTTATTAGATAATTATACAATAGGAGACGAATTTTTTTTAGATTTCACATATGAACGTTTTAAAAAAGCATATCCTGTTAGAAAAATCCTACTTTTAAATAAAAAATTTTGTCTATTTTTATTTGTATCACTGAATATTACTTTCAGGTAGTAAATATCGTGACAATTTAACCACAAATTATATACTTGATCTCGATAAAGTTTATTGGATATTGACAAAAAAATAATTCTGTTTCCTATATATATCTATGTAAAAGATATTTAATTTTTGTAATTTAATTAATTATCGATATTACATATGGTTTGTTAATTGAAACGATTGAATTATTGCTTAATTAAATTTTCATTAAAAATCAAATGCAATTGATGAGCAACAAATAAAATTTTGCTCTGTTTTTTAATCAAAATGATAAGAAAAAGGGTACATTTCTTCTGTGTCTCTTATCTTTCTTCCATTAGATTAGAATGAATGAGAGAAGAATGATGTACGAATATGACTGCGCTAGTTGTGATAGGAATGTAACTATTTAATATATTAATGAAACTTCATTTTCTTGAAAGAAAAACAGAGAGAGAAAGCAATACTCTTAATAAAATTGATTTAAGCGCACAACACACACAGGCCATGTTCCAAAATTCACTGCCAGTACTGGAAATCTATAATATACGTTACATGAATTATAGATTTTCAGTAGTGGCAATGAATTTTGGAACACGGCCACGGTAGTACCTGTATAGACAATTTCTTAAGGCACGTAATAAAATTTAAATATATATAATTATAAGTAATCATATGAATTATGTATCAAGCCTTTTTCTCACTGCTACTTACTAATTGGGCCATTTAAATCTATCATACATTTAGATTCAATGTACAACCCAAGGGATGTAAGTAACCAAAATCTCTGTTTTTCAGAGAAAAGTAACATTTGGATGATATATGCTAATCCTTTGTCAAACTTTTCTTTCATTTGTACTGCTTTTTCTAATATATATATATATATATATAATAGTGGTTCAATCGCGCATATGGCTAATTTTATATATTATTGTTTTATACGGTAATGTGTGTGAACCTTCATACTAAAATATATTTAAAATAATGTCAAGGCATTATTATTATAGCGTTGCTTCTATCATCTTTTTCCAAGTTAGTTAAAAACTGTACCCGCAATGCCATCATTTTCTCATGTTGAAACATAATCTTTTCTATAGCACATAATATATATATATGACATATTTTATTAAAGAAATAAATTTAGAAATATATAATATGTAAAAAAATGTATAAAAAAACAAACAAAGAAGTCGATATATATTTGTGATTGCAAAATGAAAGTTTTTCCAATGGAATGAATGGTTTTTCATTTTAAGACAGAATTGACATATTATTAAAATAATCTTCCTACGAACTGACCTTTTTTTACACATATTTAGAAATATTTGATGGAGTCTATGTAAACATGACTATATCTTAATTTTATCATGTATTATATATTAAATGCTATTTTGTGTGTGTGTGTGTGTGTGTGTCATAATAAAAACATTTGATTATGTACTCCTTCGTGCTTTTCTCTATGCAAACTATCACGATAAAATGACTTATCTTATATGATAATATATCTAGGAAATAATTTAAATAAGAATTTATAAGAAAACCGAGGCATATCGAGTACAGCTTCTAAACTAATTGTTAAAAATATGACGTTTCTCCTCTCTTATGATAAATATCTGAGTAATTCATGAAGTACCTAGTGTCACAGTAGCAATACGTGTCATGCCAGCATGTTTCGCTCTGTGTCGCTCGATGCTCTCGACGTTATCGATCTTGCCGACAGAACCGAGTTTCGTCGGCCATTCTGCAAGCGTTAAGAATGATCCTGTTTAGGCAAAAGATTTGTTCGTTCCTCATTGTCGTTTACTCTCTTGGTAGTGGACAACAATCGTGCGGCTTCAGATTGTCGGATGAGAATGTCCGCATCTAACGTGCTTAAGGAATCGCGTTTGATCTGATTTTCCACCGGACTCGTTTGTATCTTAAATAAACATATAACAAATGACTTGTAAGTATATTGGAAGGAAAATGTTAAAAAAATGAATTTAGTATACATTTCGCACGCCATTAGAGAAAGATATTAAAGATATATTAAAAAAAAATTATATAAAAAATATATATAGTTTTTATATATTATTAACATTATAATAAATAAATAATATTTTTTGAAATTTATATATGTAGTAGAAACCTTTGCTGATAAATTTTTCGTTTTTCCGTCATTTCGTGGTGAGGTAAATTTCGAATTGGTGATTGGACTGGCGCTGACTGGAATCGGCGATGTTGGCGCCGTTACACTGCGTACGGGCGAATGAATCAAAGAATCCTTTCCTTTTTCGTTTTCCACAAGTTTGTCCGCAGGCAACACCGGAGACTCAGGCATACTACGATCGTCCTCTTCCAAAGAATGCAGCAGCTGCAAATTAATTTAGAATTATTTTTATTTTGTCTAATGCGCAATTAATAAAAAGTTTTGTATGACAAATTAATCTATCTTTTTTTTTTGTTTGTGTAGGAAATTGCAACCTTTTCCACTTCATCGTCGAATTGTTCTTGGTTAGGCAACGGATCCTTTTGCCTTCTTTCCAAAATTGTAGCGCGCTTCGCAGCAAGATACACAGATCTTTTGACCTTTACGTAGAATACCTCGGTCACTGCACGCACTGTATAGTCTGGTATAAAGGTATGACGTAACATAGAATCCAGATTAACAGATTGAATGCTGCCAACTGTCTGTGGATTTACGTTCGTGGGCGATTCAGCTAGATGACAAAAGTTCAAACATTCCTATTTAATCCGATAAACATAGAAATATATTTTTATCATAAGATATTTTTCATTCTTACCAATTCCGATGTTAGCGGTAAGAGCTTGCGATCCGAAATATGTGAAAGGACCACTTTCAAACATCATGTTTTCTTTGCCAACTGTCACTTCAACGCGACCTTCTAAAATTAGCACAAAGTAATCGACTGCTTTTCCTTGTTGGTAGATTATCGCGGCTGGATCACTTTTGGCTTTTTCACGCGATTTCACTTTAATATGGTAAATAACATCTTGCTTCAGTAAACGTCGCAGGATTGGTTCCGAAATAACATCTGGTTTAAACGTATCCACAGCTGAGAAAAAATCGCATGATATATAATTATAAATCTAACATTATACATTTTACAAATACGCAAATACGTTTTTAAATATTGTTCCTTACTCGTGGATAAGTACTGGAACATCGCCAAAGTTAACTGTGGAGAAATGTGAATTCGTTGATTTTCTTTTTTCTCTGCAAATAAGGTGAAGTCTGTTGGCATTTTTGCTCGAACTTGTCTTTTACGTTTACTTCTGTTATCCGCTACAAAAATCAGTATCCAGTATTTATTAAATGGTGCTTTACAGATTCGATATATATAAACTCAAAAGTATTTTTAATTGCCGCAAGAGAGAATTTTGCAAATAAGATATAAAACCTACTAAACACATCTGTCTCGTCAATAATCTCAGCTTGAATTAATTCCTCAATAACATCTTCTAACGTAACCAAACCAATCACCTCGTAAAACGGATCACCTTCGCCTTCGTTGTTAACTCTTTGCACAAAAGCCATGTGGCCTTTATGACCTATAAGATACATATGCGTAACTATTATTACCCTCTCTCTCTCTCTTATATTTCTATTTAAAAAAAAATTTTTTATGGAAAATACTCAATTATATCATATACAAACCTTCCTTAAATTGTTTAAACATTATATCTAATGTAACATCTTCAAAAATAAAATTACATGGGTTTTGATAAAATTGGCAAAGTGTTTTGAGCGGCATATTATCGTCAGGATCAACAAATGCGAGATCTTTGATATATAGCATCGTTACTATATTCGTTCTTACATCTTCGTACACCGGTATGCGCGAAAATCCTAAAAATAAAATGTACCAATTGATTCAACAAGCTTTGCATCACTCTGCAAAATATTAACACAGAAACCTATATTTGATCAAAATTATGTAACTGGCAAGTCTCTTGGTAAGACCAAATGCTTATCTAATACAAGATTTATTTGTAATAAATTCTTAATTAAACTGATAATATCTTCAGTGTTACGAATGATGTAAACAGGTATCATTAAAGCTCGCTTAAATTGTTAATCATACCTGATTTCATAATCTCAGACACAGTTTCAAAGTCTAGAACAGCGTTATAGTTCAACATATATACATCTTCGATTCTGGTCATTACATCTGCTACGGTCTTCTTCCGCAGTTCTAACGCTCCTGCAATTATATTTACTTCATCTTTCTCTAAATCGTTGTATTCAGTTGTTACCTAGAAAGGTTCCTGTATAGTATTAATATATCAATTTCAAATATTCATGCATTTCCCAAACATTTCTGATAATACTTTTCTACATACAAGATATTCAAATTTTTGCAAGCGCTTTTCAATTAAATAAGGATTGGTAATTATTCATACAATTATACGTACAATTATTCATGTAAAAATAAAGAATACGTTAATATTATTAAATATTACATAAAAACTATTCTGCACAACTCTACAAACTACTCTCTAACATATCACAAGGCATTCTAATTTTATTTAATTACTACTGGATCACTTAATTATTTACCTTGATCAATTCCTTCAAACGTTCTCGACTATATACATTCCCGATTTCTTCACCGAGAATAACATCTAAAATCTTACTGATTGGATAGCTTAATGGAAAAGTGATTAGCATTGTCATTTTTGTGAGATAGATAGTCTTCGCACCAACGCACAATCCGTGCCTGCTACAAAGAGCCTACAACGTAATAATATCATATCTTTAAACTTGAGATCATAATTTTGGACATAAACGATAAAAGCGTTATTCGCGTGAAAAACATACCTGTGGCGAAATTTCGCCGAAAATGACAATAGCTAACGTCGAGCAGATAATAGCGACAACTCCGGATGTCAAGTCATCCAGCAATATCGTAAACATTGAATTGACAAGAACGTTGGAAAACAGAATCGAACACAAAAGGTAATTTCCGTGATTTCTTACCGGCTGAATTATTCTCGCATATTTTTTCTCCTATAACGAATAGTGGAATAATGCAACGTAAGTATAAAGGGAAAAAATAAAAATGCTGTGAATATAAAAACAAAACTTTGCTTACTCTTTCTGTACCGGTATTGACAAGTATTTTCAATTCGGTCCTATCTATCGCCATTAAACCGAGATTGAGACCGGAGAAAAGCGCGGAAAAACTGAGACAAATGAGAATGATGATGATAGTGAGCCAGAGCGGTAGTAATTTCTCATATGTGCAGATCTGAAAGTCTTGAACTATAAATAATTGTATTCACTGAGTAACTCGGTAATTTTATATCAAAGAGGGAGCTTATATAAATCTTAAATATCACATTAATAGAATAAAAGATGCAAAAAGAGAGAGAAAGATGTATATATATATATATATATATATATGCTCACAGTATTATACAGTGCAGTGCCTTGATGTTTAAACAACACCTGATCCTTCTTCAGAATATCCTTTTCATATTTCGGCCGTTTTGCGCATACGTAAAATGACGATCCCAGAGGAAGTACTACGTGAACGGTCGCTGTGGTTTCTTCTACATTTTCCACCTAAATATAAAGATAATTCAAATCTCTTGTAATTTCTCTCCTCGACCATCGAACTCAACTTCATGGATACTTACTGGAAACTCGTTACTTTTAATTTTATCGCAAACGGAGCCCCTTTTCGCCTTCACATCGGTAAAGCTAATCAGGGTATCTGGCGTGATACCGGTGCCGAATAAACGGATGATTGCCTTAGTCCCGGCCCGGATCTGAGGAATTCCGTTCTCGCCGTAAGAGGGTTCCTTCTCGGCCGACTCGACTCGCAACCCGTCGATATGCGTGTCCGTGTAATTTTGCGAGGTGAGACTTTTGTCGAGGGAGGGATCATCTCGTCGCATACGAAGATATTTTCTGTGAATAAGAGATTTGCAATAGAACATTAATCTGACTCATTTCTCATTATCGTTGCTGTTGTATCATCTTTATTGTACATATCGTTATTACTTCTGGTCACCGCGTTTTTTACAGCGTCGAATCCTGCGAAAAAAAATAGCGGCCGATAAATTATTGCTAATATGTCGAAGCAATACGTAAAAACCATTATCAAGATTCATACTCGAGATACCGATACCTCGTTAATCTACAGAATGAACTATACAGCGAAATATGTAACGAGAGCCCTTTCGTAAATAAGGCTATCGTCTTCGCAGAGATATTACATTTAGATAACGATATTCCAGATCGTCGATAAACATAAAAAAAACTGTGACATTCATTATAAAACGTGTTTATCTTACGTAAATCGTTTAATCTGCCTAGATATCGAACGTGTATACTTTCTCTTCAAATATCGAATAGAAATGATTAAGAGAAAAAAATGTCTGTATTTTATACTCCGACAATTATTCGCTCATCGGAAATCTTTTATTCTCCCTCTAAAAGAATTATCATTGCAAAAATTATAGAAATATTATTTGGTGGAGAAAAAATTACCGAGAAGCCCCAATATTTTTTATAAGTCAGGACGAAAGAGGTTGAATCAATCGATTGTTTTTAATATCACCTTCGGTTTGTTGAAAAGCTAACAATAAGTCGAAAATTGAATGTATGATATATTTATTACATTGCACAACTGTGGGCAATAAATTTTGCGTATCCGCGTAAATCTTGAGAACTCAACGAACGTCATCGGAAAACGGCGAAATAAATACGGGTCACATACTCAATTCTATTTTTATTCATTAGCGTGGGAGCCAAGTTCGGCTATTGAATCGGAGATGCGGCTGGATCGTCGCCAGCAAATATTAGGGGGGAGAGAGAGAGAGAGAGAGAGAGAGAGATGCTTGGTCAATGATTAGACCTGGTAACGTATATGTATAATTATCTCGCGCGCGCATTTCAACGTTAGACAAATTCCTTGCCCCGAGCATTATCCAAATGCACGCGTCTAAAGTTGCACATTCTTCGCGATAAAACATGCGTTATCGTTCCGACGACACTTTATCGTTCCTTCATTACCCCTATAATCCGACACGTTCAATTCTCCACGAGATGTTGATGTCGAATAAACAGCCGGTGAAGCGTGATTGAAAACTAAACGATCTATGTTGTTGTACACTGCACTATATAAACTGTCTTTGTGGCTGCCTCGTCTTATAAATCAAGACGTTGTAATATTCGTGGGAACGAACGCGAAGATAATTCTATGCGTGTGTTTCGTATATCGAGAATCTGCGATAACGAAGTGCATAACACACACACACTCTCTCTCTCTCTCTCTCTCGCCTTTTCGCAATGTAAACAATTAGACGAGAATATCAAAGAGAGGCGAATGACTTCTCCCTTCTAAGAGTTTCAAAATATACTTCTTTTCTATTATTTTTAATATTAGCAATATAATATTTTTATGTCTGCTTCGAATGGATACACCCTCTATACGAGTTTTATAAATTTTTAAAAGATTTCACAACAGAAATATGTGTCATGCGAGAACTGGAAAAATAATTGGGAATTTTTCAGAAATCTGTTCAGCGAAAAACGAAAGAATTATGTATGGAACATGTATCTTGTCCAAGTATGAATATTATATAAGAGAAAAAAATATGATATATGTTTCACAAAATAAAATTATATTTCTCGAATAGCTTTATATTTAATATTGTATTAACAATCTTATATTTTGATTAATATTATATTTTAATAATCTTATATTTATTTAATACACATTGTTTACACTTTTTACAGTACACTGTTCGAACTATGATTCAACTGTGATTCGATGCATCAAGTTTATAGTAATTGCCTTAATTATGAATTGAATGAATCTCTCGAGACTTTTAATATTACTGCTTTGAAATAAAATTAATATCCACTAAAATTTCTATAATTTTATATCTTTTATAGAGATACTGTTACTATCTCTACTATAATGGTTGATTTATAATTATTAAATATCTTTTTTTAATAATCAATTTTTTAATTAAAAAAATTTTTTAACTAATTGGATATCTTTTTTTAAAACATTGTGTTTCACTTGCTTTAAGAGATCACGCCTACTCTTATCCTGTGACTCATAACATAACCGGATAAAACGGAAGAAAGGAAAATACGCGAGTACAAACTGACAAAGAATGACAGATTCGTGCGCGAGAAAAGGAGAAGGAAAGAGAGAAAAACCTAAATATAGATCAGGGAAAGTGTTAAATAAGTTACTTACTCTGGGCGTACCGGGATTTTTATCGAGATACGATCGCCGAGGTTGCTCCATCTCCTTCCGACATCGTCGTCGTCGCTGCCGTTTCTCAGACAAAAATAGACGACGGTGATCTTTGGGTCTACGGGAATCGTCCGAAATTCGTAGATCGCGCGATCGCGCGTCGACGACGACCACACCGCGTCCAGGAGGGTATCGTCCGAATACATCGGGCAATCGTTCCTCGACGTCGACCATCGTAGGGGGAGATCGCGGCCAAGACCGGTGCCCAGGAACTCGACGAGGATCGACGAGCGGCGATCATCGTCTGCGCCAAAAGGCAGTGTCGACAACGGGACCGCTGTCCTTATCACGGGCGCCGATTTCACAGCTGGTCGGACGCCGTTGACCGTCGACGCCAACGTCGACGCCGCGTTGGCCTTTGCTAGCTGGACGACACACGCGGGAACAAGTAATAAAAGAATCGTTGCCGGCGCGAAACGCGAACGGTCAACATGTTGCGCCATCATACGATCACTGTACTCTGCCGACAACTTCATTCCAGTCGGCTCGTTTCGCACTTCGGTGTGTTGTATATTTATAACGCGCCGCCGCGACTGCGCACGCGTGCGCGCATGCGCCGCGCCCTCTTTAAGGAGAGAAATTGCGCGTATCATCAAAAGAAATTTAATACTTTTCGAGATTTATGAATTTGGATATTGCGCAAAGCCCACTTTTAGCTTTTTAAAATATAAAATTAATAATTTGCGAGTTAAAGTAAAAATTTTCCCCGTAGAATTAAAATTTTGATTTTTCTGAACTTGAAACTAATACCATCTATGTTCACAATATTTCACTCTAATAATTTTAAAAACACTTATCATTTAGTGATAAACGGATATGAGGATTTTACTTTATCGACATTATAAACATGGTATATTGTATACCTATATTTCTTATTAAAAAATATATCTGCGTTATATGTAGTTCAAATACAGATCGATCTGTCAATCTCGAGATTCATATATATATTCGTTTTGTAGTGAAATTTATTTCAGGTTAAATTAAGTAAAAAAAAAAGGGAGAGAATTATAATTTTATTCCTCCTACAGTGTGTCAAGAGTGCTCCCCCCTTTACAGGGATAATTACTAAAGGGTATGAATCATCGTGTAAATGTGCGCGCGCACACGCATTGCGTTTTTTCACGCATCGTCCCATACACAATAAGCCGCGGAGTATATATACATATACACATATACACACACTCACGACGCACCGTGAATGTAGTCGCGACAGCTGTGTGATCATCGTCGTTGGTTGGGAGAAGAAGGGGGCAAGGGTTAGTTTTTAATTGAAACGCGTCTCGCGGTCGCGCGCATATTGCGCAACGCAAAACTCGCGCGTCCCGTTAATCGCGCGCGCGGAAACGGTGAGTTTTCTATAAATAGCGGTGCATTCGTGCTACGAAGCGTAAACGAGCGCGTAGATTATTTCGCGCGACGTGAGACGTTAATGTACGCGTATGTACGTTATCATACATACATGAATTGACGGTCGAGCGGTTCTTTGACGAGCGGCGCATTCGGAATCCGCGGTGTCTCCGAGTGACACATTTCGCGAGAGAGAAGTAGCGTGATATAGTGCGTACGACGATAAGATCGACGCGATCTTCACGTCGCCGGAGTCGACGATAATTCTCGGCCTCGAAAGCTGAGAGAGCGAGACGCGTTATCTCCTCTTCGCGTGAACTTTGCGTGAGTTTTTTGACAAAATCGCGGAGGAGGGGAGAAGAAAGAGACTAGAAATAGGGATCCAGCGGGAAGGATCGCGACTGTCCTTCGGGGAGGGGACTATTTTTAGCTGTAGTTGGACATATGCTTGCCAGCGCGATTCTGGCGCATCTCTTTCCTAAAAGCGGTATTTCTTGACCGTATAACCGTGCCTATATGGCGGGATTGTTGAGTTAGAAACGTGTGTTTTGTTTCAATTTATTCAATACCCGGGCATATTACCTTGTTTGGCAGGAAGATGGAGAACGAGCAGCATCATTACGAGCTGCGTAGCAGGAGCCGGTCACGTTCGCACACTCCTATGGTCCTAAACCGTTCTTTGCCAGAGCCAGAGGTGACAGAGCATCATTATGATCTCAGAAGTAAAAGCCGGGAGAGATCTCATACACCTGGAGAAGTATCGAGTAGCAGGAGATCTGGTTCTAGATCGCTGTGAGTAACTTGAACTTAAAGTTTGTCGTTGATGCAACAAAATAATGAACATGTTTTATCTTTATTTTGCTTGCGTTTTCTTTTAATAATTACAGAACTGGTAGTAGCAGTAAAATGCATGAGAGAAATATGGAAACGATTGAAGAGAATAAGGAAGGATCTGTGACAGAAAGTATGACGGATAATCAAAGCACAAAATCCGAAAATTCCGCTGTTACCACAAGAAAGGCTGAACGACGGTCGGAACGCCAGAGAGCTAAAAGACAAATATTTGTCAATGGTCAGAGTGAAAGTAAAGAGAATGCGTCTAATCAAAAGGCTGAGCAAAAGCGCAAAAGTGTTACACCACACAGGATACTTACCAGTGATTACTCATCTGAAGAAGGGGAGAGAGAAGACCCTCCAAGTAGACCAGGATCTGCTTATGAGATTTACAAACAGGCCGGTGAATGGTGGAAGTATGTACACCTTAAACTTTATTCTCTGTTATATTTGCTTTCTATTATCTTTTAAACAAGAATTTCTTCACATTTAGTTGCTAAAATATATATAAATAATTATGTTTACATGTAATAAATTCTTCTTGTGATCTTTTTATCTTAAAAATACAACCTTTCCTAGAAAAAAATATTTGTAAACAGTAGATTCTAATTTTGTTTATAAACTATGTCTTTTGAGTCACATTGAATAGGTTGAATTGATATTGGTAATATTAGAGTGAAATTAGTTTATATAAGTGCGATTTAGAGTAAAAATCTACTCTGTTTGCATATAACTAATAAGACTATTTGTGTATAAATGTTTTAGTGTTTTTCCAAAGACAGATTATACATATTCGCAAACATCGCAGTATCGTTATGAGATAGCCCCTGGTGTATTAGCAATGCCCAATATGTCACGGCGGTCTATACATTCGAATGGCGATGAAAGCAGTACCATACCTCAGGTCAGTCGTCAAAATTTAAGTCAAACTTCACAAAGAACGACAGAAAGTGGAATTGGTGATATGGATACTGTTGATTTTAAGAGAAGAAACTCTCTATCTTATTCAGTAAGTATTTATCATCTTAAATCAATATTGTTTTCCTGCACATAGACACACATCTATAATATCTTTATACTCTTAAAATGATTTGCTCTTTGAATTTTATAGTTTGATGATGATCACAATGTGTCATATATACCAAATTCTTCAAAAACTGTATATAAAAAAACACACATAGAACAGTACAAGAGTCACAAAGAAGTAATTTATTCGCAGCCCGGATATCCCTTAGATTTTTCGACAAGGTATATCTTGTTTTTCTTTTTATATATATTAAAACAAAACTTTTGTTGAACAAAAGATATTTTTTTAATAGGTATTTGTCATGGTCAAAAACTCCTTCAAAATTTACTGAAATATATAATGCAGCTGATTCTGATACTGAATTGGATGAAATCTTGACATCATCAGCAGTCAAGACTAATCAAAGGTGGAGAATCGTGCAGTGGTTTACATATCTTACAACCTTCATTACCCTTTGGTTCAAGAAAACAGTCGAATTCTTCAAATTCAAAACTGATGGAAGGCAGCATTATAGTGCACAAGCTTATCAATCTTATAATGGTATTACTGGCACTTAGTAATATGTATACTTGTTTAATTATTTTACTTTTAGTGTAAGTATCACTACTAACTAATGATATCTCATTGACTGTTATTTAGAATCCAAGTGGAGCGCAATATGGCAAGCTTTGGATCATTATACACACAATACGTACTTTTTCTTTGTCAGAGTACTCGTACTCGATGCTTGGTTGCTGAGTCACTTTACCGGCGTTAGAAAATGGCTGCAAGAGAAAGGTCCGAAGATTTTATGGATTACACTTCTTCCGTTACTTCTTTTGTTTGGTGAGTGGTTTTACATTCCTATTCAAGGAAATAAAAAAAGAGAAACATCTCTCTGCGGACTCTACATTTTCTTATCGGTCCACATGATATGTAAACCAATCATTGAAGCATAGTCAGACCAATGTCTTTCGCAGGACCATAGTACCAAAAAGGCCTTCAAACCTATCCTGGCCTTCGTCTTCTTTTTGTTTCAGGGGCTTACATCGCGCAGACACATTTCTTTACCTGTGTGGATTCTCTGCGCAATGTCCAATATGGTGTCACTGAGACGACTTATCACATCTTTAATTATATTACCAACCTAACATCTTTTTACTATGAGTTATTTGTAAAATACTTTGCAGAACTTAAAAATTATTTCATGCACCTCTTACCCAGTGTGAACGTGTCTTTGCCTGAAATGCCTCCCATTGGGTGGAATATAAAGTGGTGATTAATTGAAAAATTGGTTTAGTATAGTACAATATAATCTTAATTATATACGCATATAATTCAGTTAAATGGATGAAGATGGTATATTGAATATTTATATTCCTTTGAAACATAATAATAACAAAGTAAAGTGATATTACACAGGAAATTTCGCTAAACCAATCACAAAATAGTCAATAAGTTGTTCATGACATGACATAAAAATCTTTTATACAAAAATGAGACATACTTTCTTCGTCCATTTTTTCCTTAAATTAATATTTATGTGTGATTTAATCATTGTTTTTGTTTTTGTTTTGCTCTATGACAAAGTCAGTATATGTAACAGTTATTGTTATATCGTTTACTATATTACAATTATAGTTTCATTCGAATTCCATGAATAATGCACTTATCAATTTTTTTTGAATTTTTTATTGTTTTGAAGATACTATTTTTCTCTATAATCTTTTGTTTTGTGTATTAAAATCAAAATTTAATATGAAATTTCCTATAATTTATATGCTGACTGTCAACTAACACTGTTGATTTTTTTGTTTTTACTAATGGACTAATGTTGTGTGTAAAGATGTATTTAAGATGATATATCATCTATATATTGTTGCTATATATATTTTACATATAATTATATGCATCTGTTATATTTTGAACTATAGCTGGTCATTGTCTAGTTCACATTAAAATCGGTCATTTTTTGTTATATACTTTATATATTCTATTATACATTTTGTTTTCTTAACATAAAACAAACATTGGATTCTATTCTAGACACCCCACAAATTATATACATATATATACAAATTAAATAATTGTTGAATAAAATAAAATAGATCATTTTCTCAGTTAACCACCACATATATAATATTTTTCTTATATATATTAAGGATATGATACAATAATATTTTGATGTAACAATCATCACTAGATAATATATATTGTAAAAACACGTTCATACTTAATAAAATATTTTTCATGTGTACAATATTAGTAGCCCTCTTATGAACACAATCTGTTAGAGTGATATAGCGTCATAGTGTCACAATCAAGCATTTTATGAGATCTAAATCTAAAAATAAAAATAAATTTTTTACAATGGGAGAGAAGGATAGAGGGAGAATTACTCTACTGGGTGTTAAAAAGTCGGAACGTGTTGTGCTTGAAAAACTTGGAACCGTCATTGCGATCGATGTCATCGAAACGGTGAGTTCCTTCGTCTATCCTTCTCTCAGTTACAATATTGTATAATAGTTCCATTTCGAACATTTACACCGTGTAATTGGTGTATGTGCCATTTAAAATGTCACTGTGATTATAAATTCAATAATTGGACAGTCATGTGGCACTAATTTTCGTATTGGAACACTGTAGTTCAATACAGTAACAGGAGAAGGAGATAATATTTTTATAATTACCAAATTTATGGATAATATCGAATTTATTTCAGGTGGTTGGTGCCTAGTGCAATGTTTTGCACTTTTTTCTGACGTTAAAATTATATCGGAGACAACAACACAAAAATTATTACCTGATATACAACAGAACGATCATAAGAGTAGAAGTGTTGAAGAGAAATCAGTTAATAAAGAAATACACATAAACGATTTGACTGACAAGGCTGAATTGGTCAGCAGGATAGAAATACTCGAAAACGAACAAACAAATCAAATGGTATAAATCTAAATTTTCCTACAATCATATATATAACGATATATATTTGTTGATTTATAATCTATTTAATATTTTATGTAGGAATATTTTATAAATATTACTCGGGTTTTGGAAGATCGAAAACAAAACGATGTCGATTTTCGGAAAGAATACAATGTAAGTTCAAGTATACATATTAATGTTTAATAATTAATAATTATGGAGCTTTGAAAATTCTCTGATGTTTCCAGGACAAGATTGCTAATTTGGAAAATAAATTGAATGTTGATGAACTGAACAATGTAATGTATAACGAGCTAAAAGTTATCAAGTACGAATTCGAGAAACTACGCGAGCTTTACTCGGAATTAAAATCTTGTTGCAACACCAATGCAGAATCTGTCGCAAATCATAATTTAGAAAAACATGTGGAAAGGATTTTATTTAGTTATCTTCCTGGACTTTCAAAAGAAGATCTGGCAAAAATCAGTCAGGATTTACACGCATCTTACAACAGAGAAGGTTTTAAGCTAAAGCATAGACTATTAATCTTGTTTTTTAATCACATACATACATTATCAATGTTGAAAATTATATTTTTTTTTTGATAGGTCAAATAGTTTTTAATAATAACGTCGAAAACGCAAACGTTCACGTCTCGGATGAACAGATGCGCAAAATAGCGAAGGAAGTTTTGCAGATATATGATGCGGACAAAACGGGTCAGGTAGATTACGCTTTGGAATCAGCAGGTATCGTATCGCGCTAATAAATAAGAAACAAATATGGATATAAATATGTATGTGTACAATAAATAAATTTCTTGTATTTTTACATTATAGGGGGTCAGATCATTAGCACGCGATGCACTCAGCGATACGACATAAAGTCGAGAGCTTTCACATTGTTCGGTTTCACGCTGTATTACGAAAGCAATAATCCGCGGACGGTAATACAGCGAAATCCGATACAACCTGGTGTTTGTTGGGCTTTCCAAGATTTTCCCGGATATCTCCTGATACAATTGCGAAGCGCCATTTATGTAACCGGCTTCACTCTGGAACACGTCTCTAAATTGATTTTATCGGATGAAAACATGTCAAGCGCGCCTAGGAAATTTAATGTCTGGGTATGTAAGACAGTCTCTCTTTTATGTATCATAATGTCTTTTTTTATATACTCATATTTTTTCACAGGGATTGGCAAATGAGAATGATCCCGAGCCTGTAATGTTTGGTGAATACGAATTTACATACTCTGACAATAATTTGCAATATTTTCCAGTTCAGGTAGATTTCCTTTACTCTAATAAATTTCCCAATTTTTATTTTTATCTTATATAATTTTATGTATAAATTGTTATTTATCGATATTTATCTGTGCAGAACACAGAAGCAATTAATCAACCATATGAATATGTAGAATTGAGGATACACAGCAATCACGGACAACTGGACTACACATGTTTATACAGGTTCCGCGTTCACGGAAGACCAGCTAAAGAATTAATCGAATTAGACAAAGGTTCCTCTTTATAAAACGTTCATCATTTAAGCAATAGTGAGAACAAGCCGCAACTTTTTTCTGACATGTGCCTTTAACTACCGTTATTAATAAACGCAACAATTGGCGTGATTTTTCATATAGCATCTGTAATTATATTGTGAATAGATAACTATTTAATGTTTTTGTAGTAGAGATTTTTCCACGAAGAAAATCATGCCTTCAACAACTGTTGAAACACATTGAAAACATTGTGTATATACACATAAAATAATATTAGTAATTTATATGGATGAAAAAAAATTGTGTGTGCATAATTAACACAATTATGGTACAGTCATAAATGTCGGCCTGATGACGTTCTAAAATATCGCTTATACATATATAAATTAATATCTTCACTCTATGGCCTTGCTACAGTAGTTTCACCTAAGTAAAGCGCCTTTAAAAAAAAGCACAGTTTCTCATAGGAATGCGAAAGATCAAGAGTGAGATAGATAAAAAAATGGAAAAGAATGATTTTATTAGAAGTTTTGAACATGAGAGTGTGCAATTAGTTATCATAATTATTATCATATCATATCATACCAATTTGACAGCATTACTTCAGTAAGACTGACACTTCAAAAGTTACCCCAAAGCTGAGTGTGAGTCATAATATTTGTAATAATAGTGACAGTACAAATTGTAAGGAACCATAATAATTAATTAATTAATTTTAGGGTTAAGGAAGGAAATTAATTTTTAGCTTTAAGTTTATTATACACCGCGAGTGACTTTTGCCGCGAAAAAAAAAAAAAACGATTTTTGTAAAAGTCTAAAGACAAAAATGCGTGGTACTAATATATTTGAAATATGTGTATATATATATATATAAGATATTTAGTGAGTTTTTGCAGCATTCATTCTCTTCTGTTTAGCTATTTTTAACAATTACCGAAACGTTAATTTTTTTTAAATAATGATACGTCTATTTGACTGCATCCAATTTCGCGGAAAATGCGCATGTTTCTGTTTCACAGTACTTAGATTATAATCGTACCGGAAGGGGTCGGATTGTCTTGGAAAACTCTGGACCTTTGCCATATCGAAATGCAATCGCCACTGCATTTTTATCGTCTTCACATATGTTGATAGAATTTTTACATTTACAAATAAAATATGCGTTTCATTCGATAAGATTCGGTTTTATTTGTCCGTATTGGAATTTATGAATTTTTCATTATCCCTGATCAGAAAAAAGTCTAAATTTTTCCACCCCCCTTTTTAAAAATCTATAATGATGATTAAATTCGCGAAATATCCAACTTTTATTTGCAAGATGCACTTTGCTTCTTAAACGCTGCTCGATCATTTTTATCATTAGGCTCATTTTCCCGCGCTTGCAACACCGGAAGTCCGAACTCGCCGTAAATCTTGGTTTCAAGATTCCCGCTCGCGTTAATCGAGTCGCGCACGTTGTTCCCACGCGGTATAAGAACGTTTCTCCAAACAACTGTAAGCATCTAATTTCGTGATCCGGTTTTTTATCGAATTTCTCAAACGAGCACACGTGAGAACAGGTCAACGCGAGGAGAGGGGAACCCCGGACAGCCCCCAAGCGTATTGAGGAAGGGCGTGGCGCCCCCTTGCACAACCACGGTCCTGACGAGCGCTTGCTCCGAGAGGGGGAGATTGAAGAGGCGCGGGGAGGGGAGCCGTGGGGAGCTTCCGTTTATCTGCGAGGTCAGAGAAGGCAGGCTGCGCGTTACGGTGGTGCTGTTGAAAAACACGATGAAAATGGCGTGGCAACCGCAGGAGGAAGGACTCAGGCAAATCCTGACGCTGCTCAAGGAATCGCAGAGCCCGGACACGGCGACCCAGCGAGCCGTACAACAAGTATCCTTTTGCCATTTGCTGCCTCGTCAAAGTGATATGGTGCTCGAGATGTTTCGTGTCCCGTCGCCGTCGCCGTCATCGTGTCGTTGTGCCGCTCGCACATACGTGGCCCCGGAGTGAGTTGGTAACGAAAAGGGACGCGCGCGCAAACTGCCATTCGTACATCACCGTCCGTTTTCCCGGAACGATACTCGCGTACCGATTCCAAGCCGAAAATAAATCTGGATTTTGGAAAATTAATCACGCGCGGATATAAAAGCGATTATCATGTCGAGAGATCGCGCGAGCGCGAGCGCGCGCGCGCGTACGATAGCGAATTCGCGATCGCTAACGATCGTTGGTCGCATCCTGTCACACGGCTTTCTCGCCGATGCCGTCGATCGAAATGTCGTTCGGGGACTCTCCGTGCCCCGGAATCGAGCGTACTTCTCGCCACGTCTCCTCCCGTCGAATACGAGCTGCAAATATGTTAACGATGCATATGTATATATGCCCGGCCGCGCGCGAGCAGGGCAAATTCCTGCTCGCTCGCTCGCTCGCTCGCTCGCTCGTGCGGTCCTCTGATCGATAGCTTCAACGGGAAGCTCTTCTTACCCGGGCCCGGACCGATAAATAAACCGCTTACGTTGCTCAAATTACAACCATATTGAATTGCAACCTAAAGAACGATATTGTGTATATATATATATTTTATATATATAATGGGAGAAATTAGAGATTATAACAATAGTATTTTATCAGAGAAGTAGATCAGCAGAGAGAATCGTAAACGAGTGAAGCTTTCTCTCTATGAATCTCTCTAATGTTTATGTCGTCAAATAATTTTTCCATAGATCTGTAATCTTATTTTCCTTAACTGCTTTGAATATAGAAATTGGAAGAGTTAAACAAATTTCCAGATTTCAACAACTATCTGATTTTTGTTCTAACAAAACTTACATCAGAAGGTATGTTATTCAAAAGTATATAATTCTCTATTCAAAATGTTTTAAATTTTATTTATGATTATGCGTATCTGAAGATGTATACCAGCTGTATAAACTAATGATTTTCTTTTTGTTAAGATGAACCGACTAGATCTCTGAGTGGGCTGATTCTCAAAAATAATGTAAAGACTTACTTTCATAAATTTGTACCGGAAGTCATAGTTTTCATAAAGCAAGAATGTCTATCAGCTGTCGGAGATCCATCACCACTGATTCGTGCGACTGTCGGTATTTTGATTACTACTGTCGCATCAAAAGGTATATATACGTTTCTATATTATATCGTACATGATATCTAAAAAAAAACATTATTATTAATTAATTCTGTAAATAGGTGAATTAACAACTTGGCCGGAATTATTGCCAGCGTTATGTCAAATGTTGGATTCCCAAGATTACAACGTTTGTGAGGGAGCATTCGGCGCTCTGCAGAAGATTTGCGAAGATTCAGCAGAGATATTAGATTCGGATGCTCTGAATCGCCCTCTGAACATTCTGATTCCAAAGTTCCTTCATTTCTTTAGACATTCGAGTCCCAAGATCAGATCTCACGCAATAGCGTGTGTTAATCAATTCATCATCCAACGTACACAAGCGCTTATGATACATATAGATAGCTTTTTGGAGAATCTCTTCCATTTAGCTTCAGATGATGACTCTGAAGTTCGAAAAAATGTCTGCAGGTAATTAATAACATATTGTAATGATCTTTTTGTTTTCTCTCATTCTCTTTTTTTCTTTGTTTTTTTTTTTTTTTACTATTACTAATAGGAAAACATGAATTCCTTTTTTAATCTTTTCTGTGCTTTTACATAGGGCACTAGTGATGCTACTTGAAGTACGAATGGACAGATTAATACCACACATGCACAATATAATAGAATATATGTTAATGAGAACTCAGGATGTTGACGAGGGAGTGGCATTGGAAGCTTGTGAGTTTTGGTTATCACTAGCGGAACAACCAATTTGCAAAGAAGCGCTTGCGCCACATTTGACTCGATTAGTACCTATCTTAGTAAGTTTTTTCCAGATTCATCATACATTTGGCAAGACATTCTTTATTTTTTTAAAATTAATTTTAACGTTTCTTTTTCCATTTTAGGTGAGAGGTATGAAATATTCAGAAATTGACATAATCCTTCTCAAAGGAGATGTAGAGGAGGATGAAATGATACCAGACAGGGAGGAGGATATTCGACCGCGATTTCATAAATCGAAAACGCATCATTCACACCATGCCAATGGTATGAATAGGCACACTGACGAGAATGGCGGTGTGAATGGCGGATGCGACGACGAGGATTTAGACGTTGAAGACGGATGCGATGACGATTCGACTCTGAGCGATTGGAACTTGAGGAAATGCTCCGCCGCTGCTCTAGATATGCTGGCTAATGTTTTTCGGGAAGACCTTTTACCGGTTTTAGTACCAATTTTAAAAGAGACTCTTTTCCATCAATCTTGGGAAATTAAGGAATCTGGTATCCTTGCATTGGGAGCTATTGCCGAAGGTATGCATATTTATTTCGCCTTAGAATATTTCAATAGATAATAGATATTAGATATTTGAACAAAATTTAACGTATTGTTTGCGCAAACAATTAATTATAGGTTGCATGAGTGGCATGATCCCGCATCTATCAGAACTCATTCCGTATTTGATCAATTGTCTAAGTGACAAGAAGGCTCTTGTGCGTGCCATAACTTGCTGGACGCTGAGTCGTTATGCACATTGGGTTTGTGCACAGCCACACGAAACGCATTTGAAACCTCTGATGACGGAATTGCTCAAAAGAGTGCTCGACAGTAACAAGCGCGTTCAAGAAGCAGCATGCTCGGCCTTTGCGACTTTAGAGGAAGAGGCGTGCACCGAATTGGTTCCTTATCTCGGGTTTATTCTTGAAACACTTGTTTTTGCATTCAGTGAGTACCATAACAACACAACACTCGGTTTGTCTCGATTTATAAGACGTGTCATTTTTATCAACAACTCTATCTGCAGGTAAATATCAACATAAAAATCTTTTAATATTATACGACGCGATCGGCACTCTCGCCGATTCTGTGGGTCATCATTTGAATAGACCAGATTATATCAATCTTTTGATGCCACCTCTTATTAATAAATGGAACGTATTGAAGGACGAGGATAAAGATTTGTTTCCATTACTGGAATGTCTTTCATCTGTAGCTACTGCTTTACGTTCGGGTTTCTTACCATATTGCGAGCCTGTTTACAGGTATGTATGTTATGGACACAACAATCTTTTGATAAATCTGTTTTCTATTTATATCTGTTTCTTATTTTGTCACATTTTTTAATTATAATCTATTTTATTACGATATATGATAAATTTATATATTGACATACTCTACTTTGTTTGCAGACGATGTGTGTCACTTGTTGAACAGACCCTGAATCAACATATAGCGAGCACACAAAGTCCAGAGCAATTTGAGGCACCTGATAAAGACTTTATGATAGTTGCATTAGATCTCCTTAGTGGATTGGCTGAAGGACTGGACGGTCACATGGAACGTTTAGTGATGAACAGTAATGTAATGCAACTGTTATATCAGTGTATGCAGGATACTATGCCTGAAGTCAGACAGAGCAGTTTTGCGTTACTAGGAGATCTCACAAAAGCTTGCTTCCAACATGTACTCCCTTGTATACGTGAGTATGATTTCTACTAGATAATTTAAATTAAATTTCTGTTAAAAATATGTATTGTTAGTAATGGATTTTTTATCTTCATGAGCAGCGGAGTTTATGCCTATACTTGGACAAAACTTGCACCCACAATTCATATCGGTGTGTAATAACGCGACATGGGCGATCGGTGAGATTTCGATAAAACTTGGTAAATATCGAAAATTATATCTTTATGGAGGATGAAAAAAAATGGGAAGGGTGGGAAACTTGTTACTTATCTCGTTTGTCTTCTGCAGGGCCTGACACAAGTGCATATATCCCATTAATTTTGACACAGCTTATTGAAATAATTAATCGACCAGACACACCAAAAACACTGTTGGAAAATACCGGTGAGTTGTCGATACAAGCTTTACCTGTATCTAGTTTTCTCTTAGAGCGATACCGCATATAATATACCGAGTATATTTTGGAACAAATAGGCAATGTATAACGAGACTCGAGTCGACATAAAAAATTTGTCGATTCCCATATATACATTGCTATCTTTTTACCGCGCCAACTTATAAATTACACTCCATCACGACTGTATGCTTTCTGCGCACGTTGGGAAACTTCTCATTCGCAGAGATTAGCTTCGATACGCCCGCTGAATCGTCAGCTACACAATATAATAATAATCGTGCAAAATTTTATGCGGGTTAAAGGTATCTCTGATAATCATTTAATGAAAGGTCTCCCTTGATTTAAAGTATTCCTGTTATCTAGCATAAATCATGCTAGATCGGGCA